AAAAGACAAACTGACAATGCCATGGAAAAAACAAAAAGACAAACAACAGTCTACAAAACACAACATATAAAAGATTGAGCAACACAAACCCCATCAAAACCTGAGAGTGATCTCAGGTGCTCAAGAAGGGTAAGCAGATCCTGCTCCACAGGTAGCTCATGTAAGTACATATATGTCAATATTGAATTTGAACTTGATCAATGTAGACAGTTACTGTTAATCTATTTCAAACTTACTCCTTCTAGTCTATGCTGCAACACTCCTGGTAGATCAAAACTAAAGTACATTCCAAAAGTAAGTAGGCAGGCAAAAAATAGCAGTACAAATCTGTAAGAACCTTAAAAAAATAACAAAAACCATATGTATACATGTTTCATTACAACACAGCATGATCACTGGTACTTTTTTTGGTTGTTTGTTTGATGGGTTAATGTCACTTTCTATACATGCATACAATTTTATGGGAGCACCCAAGGAAAAATAATCATAGAACTTGGGTAAGTAACAGATAAACTAAATAGAATTGTCAATACATCTTCAAGACAATCAATTAAATTCACTAGATTTTCATGAACAAAACAAGTATGTCACCCGGTGGGTTTAATTTGACCTGAATTTATGATAAGCAGAACTAGTATCTTGAAGAAACGAAGAATGCAGTGAATTTATAATGAGTATAATTAGCTCAAGATGCCTGTATTGTTTACCAGTCTGTTTTTATACTTTATGGCACTGTCTAACCCAAGCCAGACCTAAAACAGGCCATTATAGCAAGTCCATCTGTCCATTTCTTACTGCATCTTTGTTTGTTCAAGGATTCATGATCTTCTTCTTCTCTTCATACCGGCCTCATTGAGGTTTTGAATTGAGATGTGATGACTACACTGATGAGGATTCCAGCCTATTTCTAAATATAGTGAAGAGGGATGTTATTCATAACAGTATACTTACAATCAGTTGCCTTCATTGTGATATATAGCTTTATATTCACAGACTTGCTGGTAAACATGTATCAAAATTGTCTAAAAACAAAAACAAACCAATTAGGTCAAAATAAGAATATTACAGTTAGAGGGCATTTAGTTTTTATTGGTCACTGTTTTTGTTATGAAAATAAACTATTTTTCAGGGTAGGAATGTAGTTACTTAACAATTGCATAAATATGAAATAAATAAGCTGATGGGCTTTAATTTGGAGCTAATACAATAAGAGGAATTTAAAAAGACTAGAAAGTAATTTCTTTCTTTCTATTAAATTATAGGGGATACCATAATATCTAGTAATTGTAATTTTTAAAGAAATGATTTTATAAATGTTAGTAAAAATTGAGAATATTTGTAACCATGATAAACAGACATAAATATAAAAGCAGTCTCTAATTTAATTATTTCCTTGTTTTAACATTCAAAGCTAACCTGAATAATTCAGTCCCTCCCCGTAATCGATCTCACCTACTTCCGAGGATGGAGTAATGGTAGATCAGCGCAATATAACAACTGAATAATTCAGGTTAATTCAAAGCATTAAGTTTAAAAAGAAAGAATTTTATTCATACAATTGTAACTAATTAATCAAATTTTTAATAAAGAAAAATAAAAATATGCTCTGCCTGAAATAAGAAAGTTTAACATTTTTCTTGTTCACCATTTTTTGTTGGTTTATTTTCATTTTCATTAAATTATAAAAATGTTTGCCTAAATTTAATATATTTATCTTTTTCCTTGCTTTTACATATTTTTTTTTTTATTAAAAGTAAGTCATTTACAATAATATAATTGAATATGTTTTGCCTAAATTCAGATTAGTAAATATTTTCCTTGATTTATTTTCATTTTTTTATTCATTAGAAATTATTGTTTTTCATTTGTATTTTTTTATGCAATTTACCTCTGTGTATTCCCCTAACAATGTATGTCTCAAAATCTAAATTGTTGTTATTAAAAAATCAGATATTGATAAGGACATTATGGAAAGGATAACCACCATATGGTATCATACTTATTAAGATTATTTGTCAAAAGGCATTAACTCCAGTGTTGACATCTTTGACAATAAACAGTTGTTATAAAACCAAACACTTGCAATATAGGCATCTAATCATGGGACCATCCAATCAACAGATCACTAACTATAGAGAAAATCACTTGGGATAACTGTGCCTTATTGTGTGACCCCTAATCAACAGATCAATAAACACTGTTTAAAAATTGAAATAAATAAAACATTACCTGGGAATAAACAATAAAAAAGATTTTTGCCTCTATTTACAAATACAGGCAAATTTGTGTATAAGAACCTTATCAAAGGTTGTGTGGGCCACCACATAGAATTATAGGATGTTTAGTAATCTTAGACATAAAATGCTCAGGAAACCATCCAGGCATGAATTTAGCCCGATTTTCTACTTGCCTATATCTCAACTACTATAAGTTCAACTTTAATATTATATCAAAATTTGGACCAACAAGTGGAATAACAAAAGAAACACATTTACATAAAAACAGAACACCAAAAGTTGTATAAAAAAATAAAGCTGTAAAGTTTGACTGCTAGGACATAATATATTTATTCTACTCTTTCCTGCATTTTTCATTTTTGTTGATAAACAGACAAAGACCTTTAATCCAAATAATTATGACGTCTTGAAAGGCCATTTTAATTTTTTGCTGTGACGCATAAAATAGCCTTTCAAGACATCATAATTATTTGGACTACAAAGCCTGATTATGAAAAGTATATACCTGACAAGATGGGTGATATAGGTGTAGTTATTTATATTCATAAGTCATTGACAGCTTTTAAAGTTGACATTTTATCTGAATCTGATTTTCATGAATCTGTGTGGTGCAAAGTGAAGTTAGAAGGAACTGATAAACTTTTATTAGGTTGTAGTAATAGGAGTCCATCGTCTGTAGCTTCAAACAATAAGAAATTGAACGATCTAATATGTCAAGGTTGTAATTTAAAATATAGCCATTATTTAATTATGGGAGACTTTAACTATCCTGAGCTCAAGTGGGTCGATAATAAAGCATCAACTGGTATTAACACAGATCCTTTTAAATTTTACAAGTGTATTCAGAATAATTTCCTGTTTCAACAGATATGTTTACCAACATGTTTTTGTTCTGGTCAAAATGCTATTTTACTTGGCCTGGTTTTTACTAATGAAGAAAATATGATAGCCAAAGACTCAATACAAACTGATTCACCAGTGGGGAAGAGTGGCATTGCATGATAAATTTTGATTTTTGTTGTTATTTGAATAATGAGAAAACTTCAGGCGATCGTTTTTTCTTATTTTAGAAGTAACTATGAACTTTTTAATGAGTGTTTAAACAACATTGACTGCGATGTCTTGCTAAATAATAAAAGCATTGATGAAATGTGGAAATGTTTGGCTTCAATAATGTAGGATAATATTGATAATTTTATTCATAAGAAAATGACTGACCGTAAATTTATAAACCCACTGTTATGGATGGATAGAGCTTCTAAGTCTGCAATTGTCAAAAAACGCAAATCATGGAAAAAACATAAATATTCAAGAAGTAACTTGTTGTATGCAAAATATGTGAAGGATCATAACGAATGTACAAATGCTGTTAGAAATGCCAAACTTAGTTTTGAGCAAAAAGTGGCCTTACTTTTATAAATTGTAACTTGGATGGAGAGTTGTCTCATTGGCACTCATACCACATCTTCCTATATCTATTAAAATCAAACACGAACGTTAAATCATTTTGGAATTATGTTAACAGTCAACATGGTCAACTTAAAACTAGATCAGGAATAGGCACTCTTGAAAAACCGGATGGTACTTTAGCAACCAGTCCTGCTGATAAAGTTGAAGTTTTAAGTCCCACAATTTTTTAGATGACATTAATATTTGTCAGGAACATGTGCTAAAGAAACTTAATAAATTAAAGACAGATAAGTCGGCTGGACCTGATGATCTACATCCAAAAGTTTTATACATATTTATATTATATTCACGTACGTAGTAGGAACGCGTCACAGAAAAAAAATTAAAATAGCATTTCAAGGCGTCATAATTATTTGGACTAGCCTGAGACCAAGGATTTGTACACTATACAAATGAGGGTCGTAATGGGGGTACCTTCATGACGAATAACCGTAAAAATTCTTGCCAAATGACGTTAACTGTAATTTTTGGTGCATGACGCTAAAATGTACACTTTCTTTTAGACGATAAAAAAATCAACTGATTTCGATGATTCAAAAATAACGGTAACAATAATTATTTGAGACCTCTGACGAAACACGATAATGATATTTTGACAAATCACAGTAAAATTTTAACCAATTTGACGCTAACGGTAGCCAAAAATGACCGTTTGACGACTGACGGTAAAGGGCATAATACACCTTATCGATATTTGTCCGCCATTACTGGACATCACAAAAGTTCCCGTAAAATTTTGACCTCATAATAGAAAATATCTGACGCCTCAATGGAAAAGTGATTTTTGTATGACGTCAAAAGTTCAAGCAGGACAGATACTCGGGTCAAGCGGGAATAGCGATAAGGTGTATTTCCTACCCTCACAAATAGACGTATTTACACTTGTATGCAAATTTGTCCGCCATTACGTAAAATCACACAGGTTCCCGTAAACTTTGACATCATAATTCAAAACATTTGACGTCACAATTAAAAAGTGATTGTTGCCTGACGTCAAAAGGTGATTCGGAGTAGATCTAAGGTCATTCGGAGGCAAAATATAGCTAAATACCAAAAGTGTAAATACGTTTATCCTTGCAGAGACATGGCTCTGTAAATTTTAACGATGTAACTGTTGTGCCTATGGGGATGAATGAATTTAAAGTAGCAAAACTCTAGCCAAGAATTTGTAAAGTATGACTTACTATACAAATTTTTTGGTCTAACCGAACACAACTGAAACAAAAAACGTGCTAGATTTTGACCGATAGGACATTCACCTCTAGAATTACCTCCCTTGAAAAATATCCGGTTTTGGCAGGAAGACAACTTTTTGTGCATGGATTATCAAATTCCTTGTCAGATCAATCTAATTTTCATATGAAGATCATATTTTGAATAGTTTGAAGTTTAATAACAAGGTTGTTGTCTGTTAAAGAACGTAGATACTTACTCTGAAAAATTGTGCGCAGGTCGTCCTGTCATAAGAAGAGCAACAGGCTGTTTGGCAGTGTTGCAAGCAAGAGTTACATGTAAAAATACGTTAACTTTCGGTTACGTCACTTGAAATTGAAAACAGAAAAAAAATTCTTATTAAAACTAATAACTGGTACCAAGTACATATATTGCATATTTTTGCAATATTGAAAAAATGATTTGGAGGGTAACATTAGACTTTAAGACCCCCATGCATACAATAATCCCTTTTGGGATTTCAGTGCTGTCAAGTCTTACGCAATTTTTCATGTATATTTGGCTTTATTTTTCTTTAATCTTTACAATTTTTGCCAAATCTCATGCATTTGCTTCATGAAAGCTTGACAGCCCTGGATTTTGAGTGCGGCCAAATCAGAAAATCGCTCTAAACAAGCCCTATAAACGCTCTTTGGGATTTTTTTTTTATCAACGATCTGACCTTAAATCAGTTCCTTTTACACACACAACATTATTATGTACACATGACCTGAAGCAGGTAAGAATTGAATAAGAAGATATATTTGCCCTTCAAACTCTGTTAACATTTTTAAAATACCTTACCAAAAACAGTAGTTATAGATTCATTTTGTCATAAATATTCTAAGTACAGACAAACCTGTGCACCTAGAGAAGTTTAAAGGCATGGCAGAAATTGTTTGAATGCACAGAGAGAAGAAACGACGATATTTGTCAATTCCTTCTGAAATAAGGCTTGATAAGGGATTTTTAGGGGGGATCATAACAAAATAATCGTTCTGGGCACAGAATCCTCAAAAAGATTATCCATTAAATAGTCCTGATTCATTACTCTGGTCCTTACTATAAGACAGAAAACTTGCGCAAACTACAAAGTTTCTATGAAATCATCAATAAATTTTCCATTCCATATGATGATGGCAAAGATAACACAAGGTTTACCCCAAAACAAACATACACAGACTAATCCAGTGCAGCAAAAACATTTTTAATGTTAAATTTTCTACCAAACAATAAAATATTGGAACAAAATGCCCAAAAAATTAGCCTGCAGTGCTTCCACTAACTGTTTCAAGTAAAATCTCACCTGAAAAGTTCTCCTTGATCTGTTGATACATACACCATTTGTACACATACATGTACATACATTTATAAACTCATTCCTTATTTTTGTCTTATTCAAATTATAGGATGTTTGCATGTAATTTCATTTGTCTTGTCAGTCCTTTCGATATGAGACCAGAATATCGTTCCCCTACTCATATTCATCTGGATTTATTTTAGCCTTACAAACCTATCCCTTTGTTTGTCAAACTTCCTGTTTTCGTTTGAGTTGAACTAAGGGTATCTTGAAATATTTCACTGGTCTGGCTGACATCGAGATAACATTTTGTAGATGTTAAAGATATTGTCATTAGTCTCATAACCTTTTTTTAAAATCAATTCAGCTTTGTTTTACACATTATTGTGTACTGTACTTTACTTGATCAAGCACCATGAGCACAATACTGTGTTCACACACTCTTTTTATTTACATTGGAATGCAACATTCCCTTTTCGATTTTGCTACAGTCATATAATGTTAATGTTTCACCTGGATCCCTATTTAACAAAGAACTTAATAATATAAAAACTCTGTTATAAACAAACACTAGATAATATATTCCATCTACATCTTTTAACTTTTATCTGTAATGATCAATTTTCAGAGATCCTAATAGGCTACAACTTAATTACGTAACAAAGATAAAACGATTGTAGGGATGCAATTGAAATGATCAGTTGAAGAAGAACATACAACACCATTGGGCCATGGGCAAGGAAAAATGAAAAGACCAACATTTTCCACAATATCTGGTACAGAAAACTAAGGACTGAGCCATTTCTGATAAAGAAAATGTACTATTAAATGTGACAAGCTCTAAATCATATATGTTTTCAAAGTTATATTAATAGTTGTAGATTTATTTTAATGTTTATGCATAAACTTAAAATATAAATGTATTTTTTTAGGACTAAGGACATCAGGATATGTCTTGGATTTCGTAAAAACAGCAGCAAAATGTATGATACTCCAGTCAGCCTGCAGGGCTGCTGTGTAGACTTTATATGTGAAAATTTAGAGGCATTGTGTGATGTCAATCCAGTTGATTCTCCACTTCCCAAAATGACTTTTAAAGATCCTGATGTGTATTTCCATGGAGATTTGTCAGAACAGCTTTTGACAAAGTTATGTGACAAAGGAAAGTTGACTGATGATACATTAAGTCTATTTAATCCTAATACTACAAGCTTAAAAAGAGTATCTATTCAGAATTCACAGTTAACTACAAGAGGATTGAGAACCCTTCGTGCACACAGAATTTCAGATCTTGAGATTAAAGGTCTGCGAACAGTAACAGTGAATGATGTAATTGGTTGCCTTGGAGAATGGACACTTTCACATCTAAAATCACTGAATGTCACACATAGCACATTTATGAATAGTACTAACTTCATAGTAGTGATTTCATTGACAAAGCTTCAAAACTTGCAAAGTCTGAATGTTAGTCACACAGAATTCAATAATCATGGCCTGGAGATCATTGCAACAGATCTTCCTTGCCTTGAGAATTTGGACATCTCAAATACACGTGTCACAGATATATCATCGGTTAGAAAGTGCAAAGACAGATTGAAATCACTATCCATCTACAATATACGTCCACTAAATGAGGATGAAGTTATTCCCATTCTCTTTGAGATGAAGCATCTAGTTCACTTAGATATTTCCGAAGATCCATCAGTGCAGCCTCTTTTAAACTTACAAAATGGAAGATTTAAAATTAAAGCATTATTGGCTGTGCCATCTTGTCTACCATGTCTGACATCTTTAGATATTTCAGGAAAGGAAGGGGCCAATGAAACAATGATCAGGTAATAGTGCTATACATGCTCCACGAAAATTGTTGGACCTATCTATTCAGACCACCAACATTTCATCAGGTCTGCCATTTGAGCATGTTGCACTGGTCCAGTTGTCTACTGTTTGTACTGACAAAAAGGGTGGTTCTGATAGGAAGCATGACAACTCGTCCCACTGCCAAATCACCCCAGACGAAATCGCCCCACTTTTCCACCAAATCGACCCACTGATGAAAAAGGATAAATACCGTTAAATTTAGTCCTGCCAACTCGCCCCACTTATGAAAAAGAGTAAAATCCCGATGAATAAAGGTCTGCCAACTCGCCCCACTTATGGAAAATTGTAAAATCCTGATGAATTTAGTCTTGCCAACTCGCCCCACTTATGAAAAGTATTTTAATCTACACAATCTCCCCAACTGTAAATTTTTTTTTTTATAAGTGGGCCGAGTTGCATTGGCAGACCTTTATTCATCGGGATTAAACTCCTTTTCACAAGTGGGGCAAGTCGGTAGTCCTTAATGCATTAAGATTTAATACTTTTTTTCATTAGTGGGGCGACTTAGCAGACCTTGATTCATCAGAATAAAACTCTTTTTCATGAGTTGGGCGAGTTACTAGCCCTTAATGCAGTACGGTTAAATTCTTTTTTACATTAGTGGGGTGAGTTTGCAGACCTTTATTCATTGGGATTAAACTCCTTTTCATAAATGGGGCAAGTTATTAGTCATTAATGCAGTAAGATTTAATTCTATTTTTTCATTAGTGGGGCGACTTAGCAGACCTTCATTCATTGGAATTAAACTCTTTTTCATAAGTGGGACGAGTTGGCAGGACTAAATTCAACAGGATTATACCTATTTTCATAAGTGGGGGTAGTTGGCAGGACTAAATTCAACAGGATTTTGCCCTTTTTCATAAATTGGGAGAGATGGTAAACAAGAGTGGGGCGATTTGGTAATGGGGCGAGTTGTCATGGATTCGTTCTGATACATTCACTCATATTGTTACTATGATAGGTAGTTGATCAAATCATAAGTCACTGGTAATACAAGATTTACCTGTTCAATTTGGGGTCAGAAATTATTTTAAGTGTTCACCTATTTTTAAAGTTATGGTAAAATGAAAGAAGATTGATCTGTTACTGATCCCTTGTGAGACAGCATTCTCTGATGGAAATGAAATAATAATAATAATGAACACTTGCACTTGTTATTACATTTTCACACAGACTATACACCAAAAAATTCTGATTTGTGATCTTTTATTTTAAAGAATTAAAAATGTAAATTTGTTTTTTAAAGAAATGATTGTAATTATACTGTCTGAAAATTTATTTTAGGGATTTTATGACAACACACACTATGAGATTTGTAGGTGCAGCTTTAACACCTTACTGTGAATATGAAATGTTGGCAGATGAGATAAAGACAGATATTGTGGTAAGTCCATTGTACCTGTATTTCATATACAAAGACAGGGTAGGATTAGGGCCCTTTTTGGCCTATATTTTTACTGAAATTTGAACTTTTCATTTTGGATTTCCATTTATGTCTGTTTAAAAGTTGAAATAATGGAAAATTAAAAATGAGTATTTTTTTACCCATGACGTTACAATATATATACAACTCGTGCAACTGTCGTCCAGAAAAATACAGTTCAACTTGTGTTCATGAAAATTATTTTTTAACCTTTTAAACTTTGCACATACTTAAAACGATAACTTTTGAGCTCAAATCACCTGGATTTGTGATACTTAATTTTTGTGTGCTGAAAAGGGCCTTAAAGTCACCTCCTCTTTTATGATTTACTCTCATATCTACAATTAAGCCTAAAATTGCTTAGAGAAAATGGATTATCAAATAAAATCTCTTGATTTTGATCATAAGTGGGACATATATTTACTTTCTTCTTTTGTTGTAATTAAGTTTGTTATGTAAACATATAACAAAATCTCCTTTTATTATTCATTTATATTTGTCAAATAGGGTTGGGAATAGGGTATAAGAAATAATCATTATAATTAATGCATGCATGTCTTGATACATGATTCATTAAAATTGGGTTTCCAGTTTATTCAGGGTTTGGTTTAAACATGATTTAATATACGTTTATGTTTGTAAAGGTCACTGGTGAGGCCAATGAGAAGCAGATACTAGAAGCTTTAAGGAGATATGTATTAAGAGCAGTTTATGTTCAGAAGTCTCTATATACACTGTTCAGACTGACCCAGGTCATGGTAGAACCTAGAGAAGATATCATTAGGGTAAGATTTCAGTATATGTCAATTCCCATGTAACAAATTTGGGATGATAATTATTTTGTTGGAAATCTGGTGAGTTTGTCAGGTTCTTATATGGACAGCCTTGCTGCAGACCATAATGAGTGATGTTTGGAGAATGTCATGATCCATGGACAGCCTTACTGCAGACCATAATGAGTGATGTTTGGAGAATGTCATGATCCATGGACAGCCTTGCTGCAGACCATAATGAGTGATGTTTGGAGAATGTCATAATCCATGGACAGCCTTGCTGCAGACCATAATGAGTGATGTTTGGAGAATGTCATGATCCATGAACAGCCTTGCTGCAGACCATAATGAGTGATGTTTGGAGAATGTCATGATCCATGAACAGCCTTGCTGCAGACCATAATGAGTGATGTTTGGAGAATGTCATGATCCATGAACAGCCTTGCTACAGACCATAATGAGTGATGTTTGGAGAATGTCATGATCCATGAACAGCCTTGCTGCAGACCATAATGAGTGATGTTTGGAGAATGTCATGATCCATGAACAGCCTTGCTGCAGACCATAATGAGTGATGTTTGGAGAATGTCATGATCCATGGACAGCCTTACTGCAGACCTTAATGAGTGATGTTTGGAGAATGTCATGATCCATGAACAGCCTTGCTGCAGACCATTATGAGTGATGTTTGGAGAATGTCATGATCCATGGACAGCCTTACTGCAGACCTTAATGAGTGATGTTTGGAGAATGTCATGATCCCTGCGAAGACCACTTTGGTTGTTGTCTAAAAGAGTATTTGTATGTTTTATCAGTATAAACTCATTCACAGGTGAACAGATGACATACTTAATAAGCTACTATTAAACAGTTTACACACTACCCTTCAGTTCGCACAAGGTACTTCATTTAAAAATTAGTCTTGCTCATTTTAAACAATTTACTGTGAAATATGGAGATTTTTGGGGATTGGAAGGATAACCTTCTAATTAAAGATACTGTCATATGTTACCTATGTAATATACAGGAAGATATTTCATAGTGAATCACCCAAATTAAACAGCAGTGAGTGTGAAAAAAACAACCAAGAGTGATTATAGATCTGAATTACCTTGGAAAACTGTAGTTTATTATATTTCGGTTTTATTTTCACAGCTTGTATTACCAGCAATGAATGGACATCCTAAACAACTAGGTGTACAAATGGCTGCAACAGCCTGTTTATATAACCTGTCTAAAGGGGATGTTGGAATGAAAGTCCATCCTGCATGCCTGAAACATGTGGTCAATTCTACACTGTCAGCCATGGAAAACTTTCCCAATCATCAACAGGTATCTCATTAATGATTTCTTTTACCTTTTTTATATGCCTGTCTTTAAAGACAGGACATATTATGGTGTACTGTTGTCCATCCATTGTCAACACTTTGGACAATAACTTAAAAATGCTTTCGCCAATATTAATGAAACTTTGGAGAATTGTTCATTGGATTTTATTCATCAAAGAAAGGGGGATTTTCCAGTTTTCTGACTATAATTCAAAAATGCTTTGAGCAATTTACATGAAATATTGACAAAAGTTCTGTTTCGATTTTCTGAAAATTTCTGATTTAATGTTTTGGAGTATTGGGACTTTATTCATAAAAAAAGGGGATTTTTCTGGTTTTCGGACAACAACTCTAAAACTTTATGTTTGCATGGGCATAAACAGACGATCCTACTGTCAAGCAAAGGTTAAATATATTTTTCCAAGTAAATTTACAAAGATGACTGTGAAATATCCTTTTCATTATAAATAGACTGAAATTTATTTGCACACACTGACTGCAAAATTGATAATACACTAAGGGAACAACAGTTTACAGACCATGGTTTTCATCCTACAGAAATCTAACAAAAGTCATGAACTGTTTATGATCATAATTTACTTTGAAAAGATAATTATTTTATCAAAGATATTGATAAACCAATAATAACGATTATACTTTGGATATTGTTTGTAGTTACAGAAGAATGCCTTGTTGACATTGTGTAGTGACAGGATACTACAGGATGTGGTAAGTAGATTGTTGGCCAAGCAGATTTGATATTGTTTGTAGTTACAGAAGAATGCCTTGTTGACATTGTGTAGTGACAGGATACTACAGGATGTGGTAAGTAGATTGTTGGCCAAGCAGATTTGATATTGTTTGTAGTTACAGAAGAATGCCTTGTTGACATTGTGTAGTGACAGGATACTACAGGATGTGGTAAGTAGATAGTTTGCCAAGCAGATTTGATATTGTTTGTAGTTACAGAAGAATGCCTTGTTGACATTGTGTAGTGACAGGATACTACAGGATGTGGTAAGTAGATTGTTGGCCAATCAGATCTATTTATAGGAAAATCGGCATGTGGTCTTGTTATAAAAGTGTCAATTCCTATACAGGTCACTTCAATCATTGTCAAGTCCTGCTCTTTTGAAAGTGAATTGTGACTGTTGGAACCTTTTTATGACACAGTTTACATGTATGTCAGTGTTTTATTTCTTTTTCATGTGACAATAAAGTTTTCATCACAATTGTAGACCTGGATTGAAAGTAATATGAAACTGTGTCAGGCAGTATTTATGTAGAATTTCACATATTTATTTATACCTTTAAACAAAAATTAAAGGAATATTCACATGATTTAACAGAATGTATGTTTTATTGTCTATATAAAATAATGACATGTGGTATGATTGCCAATGAGACAACATAAAAATCAAAGAACAAATATATAAACAATTACAGCTTACCAAACATCCTTAAACAATGAGCATGTTTGATAGTGTACTCTAACATACAATTGGTAATTATGATATACACAAACTATTTATTGGGTTAATAAGCATTTACAATATTGATTGACATAGATATATATTTTGTAGACATTTGATAGATATAGATGTGCAAGGCTTGTAATGGAGTGCCTGTGCCAGTTTGATGAAACATCTATGAATAGGATGTCCGTTGCTATATGCTCAATACTTGCAGCCAAGGTTAGTTTTTATGTCCCACCTAGGGGCATTATGTTTTTCAGTCTGTGCGTCTGTTCGTTCATTCGTCTGTCTGTCCGTTCATCCATCTGTCCCACTTCAGGTTAAAGTTTTTGGTCAAGGTAGTTTTTGATGAAGTTGAAGTCCAATCAACTTGAAACCTAGTACACATGTTCCTTATGATATGATCTTTCTAATTATAATGCCAAATTAGAGTTTTGACCCCAATTTCACAGTCCACTGAACATAGAAAATGATAGTGCGAGTGGGCATCCATGTACTATGGACACATACTTTTATATAAGGAATGCCTTATTCTGGAAACATTTACCTTTACTTTGATTTTATTGTTGGACATGTGAAAATTATACTAATGTTTCAGCATTGTCATTTTTTTTTAAAGTTTATACTGCTAAAAGATTATTTCTAATTTAATTCTTTTTAGTGACTAAATAGATGATTTAAAGACCCTTTTAATTTCCTTTTTGTTTTCTATTATTGTCTGCTTTAGTAATGGTATTACCAAAAAGACTATGTGAAATAACATTTTTATGATTTCTTCATGTTGAATCTTATCTCCACAAATCTGTATTGAAAATATGTAAATTTCATTCTTAAATATCTATAACAAGTCAGCTGAGAAGTATAGTCTCTATTGCACAGATGGAACCAGCAAAACAGAATCAATAACGAAAGAAAATGTCATATTTGTATTATATAGATTGTTAATGAGTAAATTTTGTTTTAGATTTCAACAGAGCAAACATCAATGCTTGGAGCCAAAGCAAGATACATGAAAAAGATGTTAGAACTTGTGAAACAGAAAGTAGAAAATAAAGTGATAGATATAACTCTTAAGTTTACACTCAGTGCTTTATGGAACTTAACAGGTAAACATTACACATATATAACGAGGCTTCAAAAAAATAATTGAGCCAGCCAAACATTTTTTGTCTTACCCAATTTTAATCCCTCAAGACTTGGTAACAACTGGCAATCATTGTAATCAGTTGGGCATCATTTAAACAATGACATAAAAGCTATATTAACCTGACTTTTGGTATAACTTTGATGTTCTGATGTAAACTGTTAAATTGACAGTGCATCACTCAAAGTGTGCAACATCAGCATACTTATATCTGACTTAGACTCTTTATTTGTGCAAAATTACGCTGTCAAAAACTTTACTTTAGTTTTTAAAAAGCACATTTTCCTGTGTATGTTTACAAAGCATGATTGAGTTTAAGTAGCTCTTTCCACGTTATTTCTTCAAGAAAATACTCAAAATGAAAGTTGGATCAATGAAGTTTTAGCATTTTTGAAGAATTCTGATGCATTATTAAATCTCACACCTACACTTATACTAGTTCTGACGATATTTTTTTCGCTTAAAACCTTTACCACTACCTTTTAAAATTTGTCATCAAATCATATTAATATTGGTATTTTCTGATAATCTAAATTTTTTGACTAAACAAGATGTAAACTGCTGAAATTTAAGAAAATGACTTTAAATAAAACAATCAGTTTCTGGTACAAGATAGTTTACCTGTCGTATAAACAGGTAAATTTCAGCTGTCAGACAGCTATAAATTAACCTTGATTGTAATGAGAGGGTATTAAAGTAGGGTTTGTTTTGATAGTACTTTTTCAGCATGTCACTTTTATAACAGGAAATGTGTGGCTGTTTAAGGGAAAAGGTCAGGTCAAAATGATCGCATTAACTTCAATTTTTTCTGAATTATGTTAAAATGAGAAACCCAAGCTATATGTTCAGGCTCGGCACAACAAGTCAAAAATGTAATTTATAGGACAAGTCCGGACAGTATGACCGTTTTGGAAGCCCTGAAACTCTTTTAAGTTTACCCTCGGTGCTTTATGGAACTTAACAGGTAAACATTACACATATACATGTATAACTCTTAAGTTTGCACTCAGTGCTTTATGGAACTGTAAAAAGTAAACATTACACATAAATAAATTTCAGTGTAAAAGTTCTGATTTGCTGGATCTATGATAGTACAAATGTATGTTTTTACGTTTTAGATATGAGATGCAGTCTTACCTGAAAAGATTTTTTTTGCCCCCATTAACTTATTTGTGTAAGACATCTTTGAAGCAAGATATCTCTTTGTGAAAGGCTGTGGCTTATATTGAAATATAAATGACAAAATCTCAAAATGATGTTCTTTTTACATTTTTTGTCTCGCCTGTGATGAAAGTTGAGAAAGCAAGACATGGGGATTACAATCCAGCAGCGGCAGTGGTGATTGTGTAAACTATTTGTATAGAGCTTAATATTTCAGAAGCTAGAAGACCTGGATGCTTCATACCTTGCATGCAGATACCTTCTGTTACGAAGTTTCAGTCAGTCATATGTCCATTGACCTAATTTTCACGGTTCAGTGACTGCTTGAAATTTTTTTTTGAAAAGTGAAATACTCTCTTATTATGAGTAATGGGATAACTATATTTGGTATATGGGTTCCTTGGAAGGTCTACATTTCAGTCGGGTAGGGTTCACCTGACCTGGACCATTTCATGGATCAGTGATCAAGGTTAAAGTTATGTGGTCAAGTCCGTATCTCAGATATTATAAGCAGTAGATCAGTTGTATTTGGTGTATGGAATGATTGTAAGGTGTACATGTCTGACTGGCAGGTTTCATCTGACCTTGACCTTATTTTCATTGTTCATTGGACAATGTTTATTTTTTGTTGTTTGATCTGTTTTTATAATACTATAAGCAATAGGTCAACTATATTTGGTTTATGGAATGATTGTTAGGTGTTCATGTCTGTCTGGCTGGTATCATCTGTCCTTGACCTCATTTTCATGGTTCATTGGTCAATGTCAAGGTTTCCTGATTAAATCTGTTTCTAAGTTACTATAAGCAACATCATCTTCACAGATCATTGATAATGTTAAGTTTATGTGATACTTGTTAGTTAAACAGGCGAGACATTTTAGCATGTGCACTCTCTCTTGTTTGAGTTTTTGCCTATTAACTTTTAAATTATAAAAGATATATAACCTTTTTAAATAGCAAAAGTTATCAGCAAGACAAGATCTACAAATAAGTCAAGTTTGCAGAAATTGTTAGTAGACTCGTGATAGGAGTGATTGCCCTTAACCCTTTCATACCGAAGTTATCCTTTTGGCACCCTCGTGTGCATGCCGAAATGATCCTTTTGGCACATCGGTGTTGATGCCGAAATTATCCTTAAGGATACCTAAATTTCTATTTTTAGACTATCGCAATCAAGAGTGCAATTTGCATGTTTTTACAACTGAGAACGTAGAATGGTTAAAACTATTTTTAAAACATATTTCAATTTAAGAAATAAAAGAATAAAACTACCAAAAATGTTGGCAATAAGTGTCAAATTTCGAAGCGTATCTGAAAAAAGTTTACGACTACAACAAACATGGCGGACGAGAATAATCCCAACAACATTCTCGTAAATTTGACAAAGAAAGCATAAAAAACAGCAAAAAATAATTTCCTTTAGAACTTTATGACATATTTGAGGTTAGTCTATCAATTTTCAATCGTTTGTATGGTGTTTTAGATTCGAAATCAAGCCTCGTGGTGTCTGGCAGGTGCTCGTATTCCTCGCAAAAATAGCGATTTTCTATCACTTTTTTGATCGCCTCAAAATCAACTAAAAATTAAGTTTCTTGTATCGTGTTGTATGTCATTAAATTCCTGTGATTTTCAAGATAATTTTCATTTTTTTTGTTAGTGTCGTCATCCCGTGTTATTATTTTAAGAGTAATAAAACCAACAAGCTAAAAATAGAAAGCCGGAAATTGATGTTGTTATGGAAAATATGAAAACAACATGGCGGAATCACGGCGACATAACTTATACTATCCGGAATAAGTTCATTTCTTCGCTTGATTCAATTTATAAAAAAGATTAAAACTATTTTCTTAGATGCTTATTAAATAAATGTGTTTATTTAGCGAAATTTTAGTCATCTTTGTGGGATAATTTTACTAAAAATAGTGATGGAAGTAAGTCTCGTCTCTTCTTAAAATATCACCCATAAAAAAATGTCGTCTGATGAATCCGATGATTTTGAAGGCTTCACCCGGGCAGAGGTCGACGAAGCTGAAGCAAGATATGAACAACAACTGCAATTTCAGGGTATAGGTGATGACACGGATGGTAATGAAAGTTCAGAAGAATCTGATAATGACGATTTTATTTTACCCTTTTCAATATTTTGGGCATTAACTAAAGAAAAGATACTGTGGATTCATTTATATTCGTGGGTACCAATATTCGTGGATTGAGGAAAACTTACATTTTCATGGATATTTAATTTCGTTGTCTCGCCAAAGTTTGCATACAAGACTATAGAAATTAATAATTCGTTGAACATTTAAATTCGTGGTTTACCTGTTCCTACGAAATCAACGAAAATTGGTATTCAATGAATAATAATGAATACACAGTAGGGAGAAACTTTTAACAGAAAAAATGATCAGCAATACAAGATCAACAAAAAACAGATTTTTGTCATGAATTCTGTTCTAGTCCGCAATGTTGGAGAGTGTCCATTGTTGAAGATGCACATAGACCTAAGTGAACGAACCAGGCTTTTTAGAGCCTCTAGTTTAAATTATGAATATCAAAGAGTCAAAAAAGCCTTTTTTTTAAAATTATCAAATTTATTTGTTCAGTGTATGTTCACTGGTGTTAATATGTCCTTTGATTGAGTTAAGCCATTTCAGTTGATATTTTATAGTGTGTCTTTCTATGTTGTGATGTTACACTATTGTTTCAGATAAGGGTGAATGTTTGGTACCATTAAAACGTTTAAACCCGCTGCAATTGTTTCCACCTGTCCTAAGTCAGGAATCTGATGTTCAGTAGTTGTCGTTTGTTGATGTGGTTCATAAGTGTTTTTCATTTCTCGTTTTTTATATAGATTAGACCGTTGGTTTTCCCGTTTGAATGGTTTTAACTAGTCATTTTTGGGGCCCTTTATAGCTTGCTGTTCGGTGTGAGCCAAGGCTCCGTGTTGAAGACCGTACTTTGACCTATAATGGTTTACTTTTTATAAATTTTGACTTGGATGGAGAGTTGTCTCATTGGCACTCATACCACATCTTCTTATATCTATTATCTCCTTTCTAAAAGTGATTGTGATATAGAATTGTGCCTCAGTAGGTGAACAGTCAAATAAAATCAGAATGGTCACCCAATTGTACAAAAGAGTGGACAGTGGAGTCAGATATCAATGGTAGTTATTTTACTAGTAAGATAGTATTTGCATTTTTGAATTCATTTAATAGAAAAACACCATACATTTTGGAATACATGTACAACAGAATTTTTTGTGTGTGTTCCAGTCTTTGTTAGATTTTCAGAGCTATTCAAACCACAGGTTTTAATACCAAAACAAAAAAATTGTATCATTGATATGACAGGTGCAAATCTTAAACAACAATTGAAAGATTTTTTAACAGATCAATGAAATTTAAATTCATAAATGACACACAAAGTATTAAAATTGAGATGTTTGGATAATTTTGTACCAGTCATAAAACACCAGTTGTAAATTTGTCATGGGTTGTTTTACTGTAGATTGATACTGATTGTCTTATTTATGTTTATTTTGTCCATGTTTTAGATGAATCTCCGCCAACATGTCATGTATTTCTAAAGGAGGGAGGTTTGGATTTATTTATGGAAACCTTACAGGTCAGTTATATAAAATAGATGATTAGAATCAGACACCGTACAGTAAGTACAAAAGTGGCTTTCTTGATTTTAGAATGAGGTGTTAGCTAAAAGACTGGATTTCACTGACACTTTCAAAAAATCGTCAGTACCTTATGAAATAGCACGTCTCAAACTTTTATTTATTGATCTGAATGATTTTTAAGATTCCAAAAACAAAACTTAGAAGAAACAATATATATACATATTGGTGGGGAAACAGCAATGTTAGATAGTTAGTCTTCTGTGCTGATAATCTTGCAATTTCCTATCTATAAACTAATAGAATTTTCTGTGGGGCGCAGCTTGATACGACTGCAGAGTTCGAACCCTGAACAGTTGGGGCAAGTATGGACACTTCATTCAAGCTTGATAAAGCTCTGAATTTGGATTGTGATTAAATATTTGACACCGCATAGGTTTCTGACACAGAATGAATGTGGTCAAAGAACAGAGAAATTTGAAATTTGAAATTGGACTTTTACCTATTATGGCCCAATATCCAAGTTCAAACTTTATTTATACATAATTTCTTCTCTAAAATTAGATTTGAAGCTGTATCTATTTTTAACTATGACTCTACTTACAATTTCTATAAATTGTGCAAAACAGCTCTGAATTTGGATTGTGATTAAATATTTGACATAGAATAGTTTCTGAAACAGAATGAATGTGGTTCTAAAATCTGAAAATTTGAAATTGGACATTTACCTATTATGGTCCAATATCCAAAATCCAAGTACATGGTAAGATTCAGTATATCAAAGAACCCCTATAATTCAATTTTTGTTGAAATAAAACAAATTTAACTTTAACTCTGTCTAGAAACCAAATGTCTTAGTACGACGACGCTGACAATACCATAACATTATATGAGCGCAAATATTTTGTGGTTGTATAAAATGGGATAAGAACTATGTGGTTCACAATACAAATAAAATTTCTTTCCCAAATAATGTATGCCCTTTATGCTGCAATCATTTAAACATTTCAGAAGACTTAATACGCATATATAATAGGTGAAAAATTTAGAATTTTTGAAATGAATCAACAGTTTATAAAAATTTAAAGCCTTTGATTTTGATCAACATTATTGATAATAGTATAGGGGAAAATCCTAGCTATTAATCTGTATACCAGTAGTGTACAAACTAAGATGTATTTTACAGGTTGTCAGTGAAATGGAACCAGACACAAGAACACAAGTGGAAACAAAAATACTTGGACTGCTGGTAAATATACTAATAAAAATGATTAATATTATCCTCTGCCTTATTCATTAATTGATTTCTACATAATAATGAATATATGTAATGGCACAGGTGTTATAAAATAAGATGTGTAAATCATCATAGTTTATTATGGATAAATCCTCAATATATATCAGTGTTCTCCCCAGGCCCTTAAAGGACCGCGGGCCCGCGATGTATAATTTTTTACGTGATAAATTTTCAGTTAAAAAATCATAAATCGGTAAAGTTTGAAACAACTTGTTAAATCTTTTCCGTGCGGTATAAAATTCCAGGTGAAATTTGACCAGTTCAAACCATTTCAACACAGATTGTTTACACCACGTGATCGATTTACCTTATGAGGTTAACCTTGTTGATTGGATTTAATCGATGTAATTAACACTTGTAACATGATTCTTGTGTGTTTTAATTAAGAGTTCATAACTTTATGATCACAGATAACTATTTTATGGCTTCACTCTCCACCCTAGATGACCTGTGACAAGTCGGCAAATACTTTGTACACAAACAGTGTCTTAATTGACCCGATAGGAACATTTTTTGTACCTCATAATGGTGGCTCATTACGTATAATGGACAACTATACATTTCCCAATTCTTATATTATAGTATTATATGTCTCTGATTAAACCATGGCCAATATTATCTTTAATTATGACATTGTTATTGCATGAAAGTCGGGTTTCAAACTGTCTGTACATATCACATGACCCAGTTAGTTCACATAGAATATTCAAGTTTATTTACAATTAATTGCAATCTATTATATTTTATAAATAAAATGCATGACTGTACCTTCAAACTGGATATCTATATCCATAATTAATGAATAACAGAAGTAATCTTGCAAATTTTATCCATAAGCACATGTTAAATCTATTTATATCTACTTCCTGTCATTTAGGCGGGAAAATAGGGAGACTTAGTTGTTGACATTGAATATGGTTACTTATAGATCTATAGACCAAAGATAAATTTATAGATTTAGGAATTCTTTTTAAATGGTTCATGACAAATAAAGATTTAGATTTTAGGGCAGTATTAAGTCTGTATCTATGTTTGATTATCACCAAAGACAAGGAAGGTTAATATTTACATGAAATCTATGGCAAAATGTTCTAAAATTTATGAAAAATTTCTTTTTATTAAAATCTAAGATAGAAACTGGTTCAAATAATAAAACAATATTTGCAATTGTTCTTGTTAATTTTATATCTTCTTATGACAGGAATCCTTTCACATACAACAACTTTTTTTCTAGAAACTAGAAAGTTTTTTAAATTGAACATTTTTGTTCTCTTTTGAATGATATTTTATTTTTATTGATTTTGGATTTTATAAAAGATTTAATTTCTTTAAATTCAGATGAATATTTTATTATGAATCATAATTTATTTATTTTACAAAAATATTAAAGTATACAAACTGTTTTTTTTATTTACTTCTTTTTTACCAATAATTTTCTGAATCAATGTCTACATAACACAGTACCACAGTGTTAAAACAAAACAAGAGACATAAAAACTACAGTAACTAGAGCTAAGCGATGCGACGCAACACAACTGATTGCATGAAATATTTCACCAAGAAGTCCACACGCGTTACCCTGGTGCTATCCAAAAATCCTGGGGAGAACACTGTATATATTATCATAATTGTATTCTGTATCACATAAACATTTCTTCTTTTATCAAAATTTCACATTGAAAATTTATATGTATTCTTCCTCTTTCTAAATTTTAATTCATATAAATTTTGGCAACGTCAAATATACAATAGGAAAGAAACAAAAATAAAGATCATAAGTATGTTTCATTTCAGTATATAAATGTTATACAATATAAACCAAATGCATCAACTTTCTATTTTCTAACTAAAAATTTCTTTCTTAACTTTATCATAATGTTTAATAATTAATCAAGTCCTTTAAACTTTAAACAATTACTAAAATGTAATTTTGATAATGAATTCCCATATTAAATTACTAAATAAAATGTTTATCTCCCTTATCAAATTATCTCCCCTTATCAATACTGCTTTTATAACGTACTTCAAAAATATGACTAAACACGTGTTATCATTTGTTAATAGCAAACATTTTACAACTAACTGCTAAGCTAATAAAGCATACACTATCAATAGCAGTAAATTTAATCTGTATTAACAATTCTAGGAAGTCATAGTTGATAAATATAATTACCACATACCGTAAGTAAGGTGAGAGTAGACATCTCATCACGAATAATCACAAATCTTTATCAATCTTTCTGACAATCATAGTTGATCACAATAATCTTATGACACCTACAAATAACATTTATAGTTCAAAATAGGTACTTCTATTGGAGTAATAAAGATATTATTTCTGATTTACCTCGCTCTCATTTTATTATATCATTTTATCAAAATAACTTTTATTCATCAAAACACACAACTGATCAAGATTCTTTAATTTTAAAATATTTGCATAACAATTCCCAATATGTAATGTACCTTATTCCAGACTTATTATAAAAATCTAAACAGATACTGTATAACTAAGTTTATAACTTGTGAATGAATAATGACTTAATATATAACTTCTACATCTTTACTCTTAAACTGTCTTAAATGTGTAATAACTTTATAAACTATGAATTATCGTGTTTCATCTAAACCACATGCTACACATGGTACTTTTCTCACTCAAAAGTTCACTATGATAACAACTTGTTTAAAACAATAAAATTAGTTCATAATAATCATAATTCAACTGACAATATTTGAATCCTCACTATTTTGTTTCCAACATTACATTTCACACATTACATTGTGTTACAAAAAAACTTGTCAGTGACAAAAATGACTGTCAACCTCTCTTTAAACTATCCACGCTATTATCTTATATAACGCAGTCGACTCTAACCTACAAGAGTTTCAAAAATCTTTTTTTACAATAAAATCAAAATCTATTAATTTTTGTCTTTATCTTCTTTTTTATATATTCTTTGAATATCTAAATCACTAAAGAGTAATTTTTTAGAGTAAAAATAATTTCCAAACTAAATTTTAATAACTGTACAAAGGGAAACAATTCAATCTAAAAAATTATCAAAATCTTATATCTCTCATGTTACATATAAATTACATTAACTTGTAAAGGTGTAATCTGATATTCTTGCAACTGGTCAATTAGTGTTGAACTCAGCTAATGATATTATGAATGTTGTCTGAATGTTTGGGCATCAACATTTTAGTTTCCAGACAAAATCTTTTGAACCAGTAGGAATATCTTTTTCAAACTTGGCATGCCTCAAGTGAAAAAAGACCCCTATTAATTTTGGCATCAATAGGTCAAATGTCAAGGTCACAGCAGCTATAAATGGTAGTAAATTTATATTACATTCTTGATATTGCATCATAAATGGGTTATTGTTTCTAATTTGAAAGACTATTCCCAACCTGTTAAAGTATCACAGAGACAAAATATCTTTGTTTGTATGAAAGTAATTCATGTAATATTTATAGTGGAAATCTTGAACGTAAAAGTTTTATTTTGTTTCAGAATAATATTGCTGAAGTGAAAAATCTTCGAGAAGCATTGATGAGAGATGACTTTATGATGTTAGGAAGGAGATTAATGCATGCAGATCAAATAGATGTTGGATACTTTGCTGCAGGAATTATAGCACACCTAGCTAGTGATGGTCCTCAGTCATGGCTTGTAGGAACTCCAGAAAGAGAGGAGTTATTAAATGAATTAGTAAGCAGTTGTAGAAGAGGCAGTTCTGGGTTATACTTTAATTTTTGTATGCCCCCCACCGTAGTGGAGGGGCATTCAGTTTTACCCTTGTCTGTCTGTATGTCCGTTCATCCGTACATCTGTCCGTCCTTACATCCCACAAATTGGTTTCCGTTCTCTAACTTTAGTTTGCCTCAACTAAATGTTATGAAACTTATACACAATGCTTATTACCACAAAACACAGATCAGGTTTGCATTTTGGTGGTGTCACTTTTACTGTTCTAGAGTTATGCCCCTTTACAAATGGAAAAATTGCTGAATTTTTCGTTTCCGTTCTCTAAGTTAAGTTAGCTTCTACCAAATATTATGAAACTTATAGACAATGCTTATTACCACAAAATTCAGATCAAGTATGAATTTATAACGTTATATGCAAGCGGGGGCATCATCTGTGTCCCATGGACACATTCTCCATTTATTTCATTCTATAACTACAATGTCAAATTTTTTCAATCTATGTAGAAATTGTAATTTTGAAAACCGCAAATTTTGCTTGTTTCGTACTTATAATGTTGGGTAAAGTAGATAAATGCGTTCTGTATAGATCTTGTTTATTCAATGTCTAGCCATTGCTATATGAGTAACCTCATAAAATATAAGTGTCAGTTAGCAACGTTTACATGTATGAAATCACGCTAAATTTACAACAGACTGGCCAACTCTCATGTTAATAGCAGCTATATATGAAAAGAACATGTTCGCAATCTATGTAATTTTCTATTGATTGGAAAAAAAGTGTCAAATACTAGTGATGACCTTTTCAATAATATTCCACATATTTTATATCCTGGCAATTTAAGTCTTCACCCATTTGTATTGAAAAAATGAATGTAACAAAAAACTTTATAATACCATGATGACACTTTCAATACATAAGTTTATATTATATATCTCTTAATTTGTAGGGTGAAGTTGTTCTGAAATGGGAACAACCTAGTGGTGAAATGGTTGCATACAGGTAAAATATACAGATACTTAATAGTATTGGTGTATGGGATGTTCAAAAACTTAAATAGCAGAAATATAAATCAGTACTTGTTGAATTTTTATCAGTCACTTTTTACTTGCTGCTTTTTACACCTTAAACCATGAAAACATGAAAAACAAGACTGTTGAAAAAATATTAAGTTTTGAATTTCAGTAAAAACAGTCCTTTATTGAAATCTTAGACATTTCCACTAGTTTTATCCAATGTTAAGATGTCTTACATTTTATTATATTTTGTAACTCATATTATTCAGATGAAAACTAACGTCAAAAAGATATAAATATCACAGGTAACTGAGGTTATAAAAACACTAATTTTGAAGCAGAAAAAAATATCATAATGTATATTGAAAGTTTATAATAAAATACACTGTCCTCATGTTAAAATGGGTTCTTCTTTATTGCTTAGTATACTGTAAATTCAGAAATTATTGCGTGCATTTATTATTGTGATATTTAAAGACAGAACAAAAATGCGAGATTAATTATTGTGATTTCAGGAAATGTTTCATACAAATAAATGTATCAGATATCAGAATGCAAGTTATAATTATTGCGATACTCACCCAGTCACATTATTCTCATTAATAAAACTCGCAATAATTTTCATGCTAAGAGAATGCTGACTATTTTCAGGGGTCAAAGTTAAGACTGTTCTCTATGATATAGATCAAAATCTTGTCAGCTTCATAGATAGTAAATCACTTAGTCAGTTTTTTCAAAACTCAAATCTCCATAATGATAGGAGACAGTGCTTTTAAGTTAAGATTGTAGTAGTTCTTATTCTAGAAGACTGTCATTTAAATCGTTTGGTTTGTTATGGTAGTTCAACCTTGCATTTTCCTTGTTAAAAGCTGGTCTGCATGTAGATTTGTTAGTTTAAAGTATATTGTCATTTATATTTATTTTCAGGTCTTTCAAGCCCTTTTTTCCTTTACTAAGATGCAAAACAGCACCAACTGTACAGTTGTGGGCTGTGTGGGCTATTCAGCATGTTTGCACTAAAAATGGTAAGTTTTATGTGATGAGCAGCTATCTGAAGAAAAAATGAACTGCTTAGTCTTTAGAATTCTATTTAAGATTTTTACATTGTTCATTCTTTAATAAACGTATGATTAAACTGGCATAGAAAAAATCAAGCTATTTATTGCCCCTTGTGCTTTAATTTGTTTTGTATATTACACCCGCCCCCTAGGCAAAGGGGGATTAATTGTTACCCTTAACTGTCCGTCTTTCCGTCCGTCCTTCCATCCATCCAAAAGTATTTTCACATATTAAAAGCATGCTTGAGCAGGGGTATCTTGTCCTCGGACACATTCTTCTTTTTTTACCAATGTGTTTGATACCTTAACATTCCAAGTGTTTGCTATAAGAAAAGTTCTGTAAAGATCAGTAGAAACTTAAGAATGTTTAAAGGGAAAATTCGCGATTTTTTACTTATCATCTTATTATGTTCATAATACCATTAAAAACATATTCACCAAGTTTTATCTGGATATGAAAACTAGTAAATAAGAAAATTGGGAATTATTAATTCTATTTATTCAAACTTCCTGACTTATGTGACGTAGTTTAAGTCTTTTTGCATGCCGGGAGTGGATTAATCTCATTTAAAGTCTTGTTCGTTAATCATCTAATAACGCGATTTAAAGCGCATCAACGACTTTTGGTGTAGCTATTAACCAACTAACAATTCAGAAAGAAAAGTGATCAGCCGTGCATTTTTTTAAATTAAAATTTACGATTTATATTTTAAGGATTTCTGATATGATTATAGTAATAAAAGCAAATCATACAATAGAATTTTTTTATGATTTTTTTTTCGACGGATATTTTTAACAACATATATAACTGATAGTATAATAGAAATTCACGTTTGTATTCTCCCCTATTACTTCAGTCGAGGATTTGTCTTACTATACAAATCATTGCTTCAGTCTAGTACTGTGTAAAGGCAATGCATGTGTATTATGCTGACACCACCTGGTAAAGGCGTGGTTAAATTCACGGTAATTAAAAGATTAGCATTATGTAATTTTAATCCTTTGATCTTCACTAGAGTGGTGTTTGTCCTCAAGGGTTCACCGTTGCAGGTATGAGACAGATTTTTTTTAATTATTAAGGGAGGAATATGGTGGCAAAATACCTTAATTATATATATATTTTTTTAACATTTTGCATTTGCTCAGTTTTTAAATAAATAGGTGAGTATTTTGTTGTAACATCGAAATTCTGAATCACTTTGAATAAAATAATTATATAAATATTATAAATGGCCCACGAAAACGAGCGTATAAATCAAAACAGTACTATTTTAAATTATCATCGGTAACCTTGAATATTTAAATGTGCAGAGAAAATTATCAGTTACAAAAATATAGTTTTGTCGTCCAAAGCGATCTTCATTTACCTAATCAGGAATGCCCTTATTAAAATATTATAAATCTCACAACGTATTTATATAATTCTTAAGCTATTTGACCAACGATGTTTAAAAAAATTAACAGAATCAATCTAACGTCAACTTTCCTTTTTTAAATGGAGACAGAACGTCGAAATCAATTTTCAATGTGCTTGATATCTTGCCGGTACCTTTGTAAGACTTATCATTCATTCATAACCCCACTCTAAACCAGAGACATATATACGTCTGTTTAAACTGACAAAAAAACTCCTAAAGCGGACAAGCAGTATATTCTGTAAATTTCTGAGATTTAATACAAAGAAATAAAAAAAAATCCCGAAATGAATTTGATCCTGGAAAATATTCACATCCTCATTCGGTCTGAAAAAAAGATACGAATTTGGTATACAGAACATGCAGAAATGTGAATGTTATAAAACCTCATTGTTATATCAGAAACCATTATAAATATGAACATGTATACGTAAGACCTCATGGGACGTCACCTAACCACATTCAGGTAATATACAAGTAGCTCTGTTATACCCGGAAATGCCTCCCCCCCCCCCCCAAATCGAGGAACAGTATATCTTACAATGTGTATATTCCTGCAAAAATAAAAATAAAATGAGAAAAAAGAAAGAGATGAACGGTAAGTCACATCAGATTCAGATATTTATATAGTTGCTTGTCGTTAAATAGAGATCTAGTGTATACATGTCTCTGCGTTAACTTATAAAAATAACAGGAAATAATAACCTTGAAATAGATTTATGATGAATACTTTGCAACTGCGACACCCCTTTTTATCACAGCGTACATGCATGCATTTAAATGACTCCGTTATGCGATTTAGAATGACAATCGTACGTACAATCCTATAGTTCATGGTGAGTCCTTTTCTATCAGATATGCGACTTTTCGTATTTATATTTTCTCTTATATTACCGGTACTGTCATTTAATATCTAATGCATAAGTGCAATATTAAGAGTGGTTAAATCCCCTACAAGCTAACTAAATAAATAAATCAACCCTCTAGCTGACCAGACGTTAATACAACTACCATCAGTCTATCCGGAGTGAAGTTTCTTTATTTCTTCAAATAGGCTTTTGGGTATCATTAGTGCACGTCCAGTGGCATATATATATAACATGCATGTCGGACCAGGAAAATGTGATGATGACGAATTTCTTAAACTGTTCGAAATAATCTTATTGAAATATAAATCTGTGATTTTACTATGTCTATAGCTTCGAACCAAAGCAAGTTAGATATCGACCTGTATTTAAATCAGATTGGTTCTGGGTGTTTCTCTCGTATATTCAATATACTTGTATGATATTAGTTCTATATTGCGACTATCCATAGTATCCGTATTAAACCTTCCATCTAGGCGTATAAACCAATGATCGATAAGTGCCGCACATTTTGTTAAATCAATATTTGTATGTTTCAAAATGTCCATAATTATTGACAACGAGTATATACTTACATTTTCCCCAATTTACCCTTGGAAAATGTGTAAATAGATTTTTATTTCATCAAATCTTTTTTTTTTTTAATTATTTAAATTTTCATAAATATCATTCTTTACACCAAAAATTTTATTTATAAACAAGCGTATGAGTTTAGCAATGACTAGTAGTATATCACTATCGGATACGCTATACAAAGTTGTATATTACACCTGATAGATTCAAAATGGAAGTTACATGTTCTCGGCCGTGTACACTGATCAATACCCCCAGAAAAGAAGTGATGCACGAACTTGTTTTATGTAATTGTGTAATAACAGTTTTAAAGCCCGACAGGAAATTGCTTGAATACCTGTACGTGTCACCTCTCAATACCTCTGGGAACAATCCCTTTAGCCATTCTGGTGATCAGATAAGGCCGGAAGGTCCGAATTTATTTTAAAAAGTTTATTACATAAAACAATTATGAACAAACTAGATTTTCAAAAACAATTTTACACGGAACACTTATTTATAACTTTGACTTTTTAACTAATTTCAATTTCTTGTTTAAATACTTCGTAAACAAAACAGTTTCAAAACGACAGACCATACTATTAGTACTAGTTATTTAAAAAATAATATATATAAAATTACATTTTCCGTATCAAGTTAGTTAGGAAAGGTTGCACAACCATGTCTTTCATAATCTTTTTTGTGACCCGGGAAACTGTTTATGCTTTCCTTGTCGGATAAAACAACCGTACGCTTGACAAGATATCGACACTCAATTACGGCTACGTTAGGTTACTACCTGTTTTGGTCCTTTGTGGTTTATAGATATATCGTGGTCAATATTCGGGGAGGATGTCAAAATGGCCGCATGCGGAGAATTGATACTCTAAATTTAAAATCGATGGTGATCTCTTAACTTGCAGAATAAAACTTTAATATCTATGAATTTGTGCTTTTTTATACATAATGAACAGAATATGAATTTTTCATTTTTTTGCGAAGTTTCCCTTTAAAGAAATATAAAAATCTTTTTGAATTAATTTGAATAAGATTTAATTTGTTTCTCCAAATATTGAATCAACAAACAAACAAAAATAACGTTAAAAGTAAAATCCCCTAATACATACATTTTATTGAAGTTTTGTTGTATTTAGTTTAATGCCAGCTATTGTCTATTCTATAAATTAGATGGAAAAGTTAACAGTATAATTATACCAAGAAAATTATTTTCAGGAAACCGTTATTGTCCCATGCTAGAAGAAGAAGGCGGTGCCCATATTTTAAGACAAATGATTGACAATCCTGAGTCACATGAACATGTTGTTCAGATTTCCAAAGATATACTCATTCTTAGCAGGGAAAACAAGGCTCAAGCTCAGAAGAAGCGAGAAAAGAAAAGATAACATAGTTCTCTTTAGAGCTTCAATTTTATCTTTGAAATTTCCTTAAGATATTGGGAAGTTGTTCCATCTGCAATCATTTTCCTCCTTATTACTCAGAATGGGTGAGGAACTTTTTGTGAAGATAACTAGAAGATATTGTAAATAAATGTTAAAGATTACCTGCTTCAACATGTATTTTGTTTCTTTTAATGTTATTATGTTTGTTTCCCTTGATATTTTATAAGAAAATGACAAGAAATTACAGTCTGTGTATTTCTGCTTTGAATTAGTGTTTGAAATGTTTTATCTATACAAAAGTCTTAACCTAAAAGTAAGGTTAAGAAAAAAAACAATTTCGTTCATGACTGTAACAGTTTTATTATTTGACATGACATCAGATAGTCTTTTTGTACTCTGAAAATAATAGTGGGATTTTCAAACTCAATTTGAATCTAACAAAATGTCTTTTGTTACAATTTAAGTGCTAAGAAATGAAGTGCTCACATTGACCTGATCAAGTTTGGAGTGTATGATGAAGGTCATATTCCTTTTTGGTTCTTGAAAATTTTATTTAATTTGTTATGTTCTATATATCTACAACAGCAAGTTTAATAAAAATGAAAAAAATGATTTGATTGGTAAATATTTTACTATAAATGGACTTGTTTGAAATCAAGACTAAAATCTTTGATATTGTCAATCATGTTTACATATGAAAATTAAAAAAAATGCTCAAATAATCATGATGTTTCTTTCATAGTACGAAAGCCAATGGGTATTAATTTGAAATTGATTTTATTTGTGGTTATAAATTTCTTTGTTAATTCTGCGGAAATATCAATGCAATATTATTGTTTATCTGTGAAGGTTCATTTATTGTCCCATTTTAATTCATAATATTACAGTATATTGTTGATTGTTTTTTGGTCATTTTATTCATTCCAATTTTGCTTATTCTTTACCATTATAAGATATACATCATGTTTAACTTGCTGATATCAGATAAATGTAAAAGTGATCCAATCGGATACCAGTCTCATTGTCATCTGTTTTTCATTTGTTGATATTTCTCCTGTAAATAAAATTTCACTGAGATGATGATGAACCATATTAAATTGTCTGTATATGCTTGACAGCATTATCTAACATGCATTTCTATCTTTTAAAAATATTCTTCAACCTTTATCTACTTGGAAATACTATTACAGGTACTTGGAAATGCCAGTTTCAATGATTCATTGGAATTTTTGGTTCTTAGAATAATTGTTTCATACTTTTGATACAATCAAATTATTAAAGAGTAACTAAGTAATGCCTTGTGTACTTTTTTTTTTTCCATTTTAGTAAACAACAAAAATCAGGAAAATAGATACTCGCAACAGTATGATAATTTTTTAAAAGTACTGTAAATTCAGTAATATATGTATCGATTCAAATCTGTGAAGACCATCCAATTTGTGACCATTAACTTATTTGATTTATTAAATTCATATTCCTACATGAATAAATAAGTGATGTGTTTTTAATGAGATAAATGTGCTGTTGGACTTTTGCATTCATAGAAACATTGCGATAATTTCTAATTTTCTTTAAATTGAGATAAATTAATTTAACTGATGGAAGTTATTTTGATAAACTGTTAAAGTAAGAATTTTTGTGTTTTCCTAAATTGAGTTTTTTTTTGCAGTGCATACTTATAAGAAACGAAAATATAAAATCGGAAAAAATGATTTTCATGGTTTTTCACACTAATTTTTATTATGAGTCATTTTTATACGACCGCAAAAAAATTTTGTGGTCGTATATTGGTATGACGTTGGCGTCGTCGTCGTCGTCGTCGTCGTCGTCGTCGTCGTCCGGCGTCGTCGTCCGAATACATATTGGTTTTCGCACTCTAACTTTAGTTTAAGTGAATGGATCTTTTTGAAATTTGACCATAAGGTTAAATACCACAAAAGGAAGGTTGGGATTGATTTTGGGGGTTATGGTACCAACAGTTAAGGAATTAGGGGCCAAAAAGGGGCCAAAAATGAGCATTTTCTAGTTTCCAGACAATAACTGTGGAACGGTGTATGGATCTCTCTGAAATTATACTACAAGTTTCCATACCACAAAGGGATGGTTAGGATTTGCTTTGGGGGGTTATGGCTCAAGCCGTTTAGGAATTAGGGGCAAAAAAGGGGGAAAAACAAGGTTGTCCTGGTTAATGGACAAATACTTTAGTACAAAACATAATTTAAAGCAGTGTAAGGGAGATAAATCAAATACATCATTGAAATTATCTCCCTTACACTGCTTTTAAATTATGTATAAAGTAATGGTTAATGAACAATAAAGATAATTTAAAACAGTGTAAGGGAGGTAATCCAAATACAACGTTTTGGTTACTTCCCTTACACTGCTTTTAAATTATGTTTAAAGAAATGCATATTTATAAAGGAAGACCAGTAAAAATATCTGCAAATGTTTTCATCTTTTTTTTTTACAAAAAAAATCCATATGAAAGATTTGACACTATATTTTTATTAATTCTATTATAAAATAGATTAAGTTAGAACTATGGTAAATTTAAATGGGTAATTATGGTTGCCAACTCCATTGGAAATTTGAATTGAGATTATGACCATATCTATAGGGAGAGAATTTTTTTGGGAGAAAAAGGGGGGGGGGGGGATAAAAAGAAATTGTGGGGGGCCAATTTTTTCTCATTTCAGATTTCAGAAATTAAAAAGAATTATTCTTCAAATATTATTTTTTTTTCAAATTTCAAATATTGAAAAATTTCAAGAAGTAATCTTTAATTGCACAGTATGGCGCATTAGATTTGTAAAATCTTTGATCACATTTATTTATTTGTTATGCCGAATCTAACAGTGTATTTAGATTTTTAATTTTGGGTCCAGTTTTCAAATTGGTCTACATTAATGTCCAAAGGGTCCAAAATTAAACTTTGTTTGATTTTAGCAAAAATTGAATATATGAGGTTCTTTGATATGCTGAATCTAAACATGTATTTAGATTTTTATACGACCGCAAAAAAATTTTGTGGTCGTATATTGGTATGACGTTGGCGTCGTCGTCGTCGTCGTCGTCGTCGTCCGGCGTCGTCGTCCGGCGTCGTCGTCCGAATACATATTGGTTTTCGCACTCTAACTTTAGTTTAAGTGAATGGATCTTTTTGAAATTTGACCATAAGGTTAAATACCACAAAAGGAAGGTTGGGATTGATTTTGGGGGTTATGGTACCAACAGTTAAGGAATTAGGGGCCAAAAAGGGGCCAAAAATGAGCATTTTCTAGTTTCCAGACAATAACTGTGGAACGGTGTATGGATCTCTCTGAAATTATACTACAAGTTTCCATACCACAAAGGGATGGTTAGGATTTGCTTTGGGGGGTTATGGCTCAAACCGTTTAGGAATTAGGGGCAAAAAAGGGGGAAAAACAAGGTTGTCCTGGTTAATGGACAAATACTTTAGTACAAAACATAATTTAAAGCAGTGTAAGGGAGATAAATCAAATACATCATTGAAATTATCTCCCTTACACTGCTTTTAAATTATGTATAAAGTAATGGTTAATGAACAATAAAGATAATCTAAAACAGTGTAAGGGAGGTAATCCAAATACAACGTTTTGGTTACTTCCCTTACACTGCTTTTAAATTATGTTTAAAGAAATGCATATTTATAAAGGAAGACCAGTAAAAATATCTGCAAATGTTTTCATCTTTTTTTTTTACAAAAAAATCGATATGAAAGATTTGACACTATATTTTTATTAATTCTATTATAAAATAGATTAAGTTAGCACTATGGTAAATTTAAATGGGTAATTATGGTTGCCAACTCCATTGGAAATTTGAATTGAGATTATGACCATATCTTGAGGGAAAGAATTTTTTTGGGGGAAAAAAGGGGGGGGGGGGATAAAAAGAAATTGTGGGGGGCCAATTTTTTCTCATTTCAGATTTCAGAAATTAAAAAGAATTATTCTTCAAATATTATTTTTTTTTCAAATTTCAAATATTGAAAAATTTCAAGAAGTAATCTTTAATTGCACAGTATGGCGCATTAGATTTGTAAAATCTTTGATCACATTTATTTATTTGTTATGCCGAATCTAACAGTGTATTTAGATTTTTAATTTTGGGTCCAGTTTTCAAATTGGTCTACATTAATGTCCAAAGGGTCCAAAATTAAACTTTGTTTGATTTTAGCAAAAATTGAATATATGAGGTTCTTTGATATGCTGAATCTAAACATGTATTTAGATTTTTGATTTTTGGCCCAGTTTTCAAGTTGGTCCAAATTGGGGTCCAAAATTAAACTTTGTTTGATTTCAACAAAAATTGAATATATGGGGTTCTTTGATATGCTGAATCTAACCATGTATTTAGATTTTTTATTTGTGGACCCCGTTATCTAATTGGTTCATATTGAGGTCAAAAGGGTCCAAAATTAAACTTTGTTTGATTTCATCTAAAATTGAATTATTGGAGTTCTTTGATATTCCAAATCTAACCGTGTATTTAGGTTTTTAATTTTGGGTCCTGTTTTTTAAATTGGTCTACATTGAGGTCCAAAGGGTCCAAATTAAACTTAGTTTGATTTTAACAAAAATTGAATTCTTGGGGTTCTTTGATTTGCTGAATCTAAACATGTGTTTAGATTTTTGATTATGGGCCCAGTTTTCAAGTTGGTCCAAGATAGGTTCCAGTATTTAAACTTTGTTTGATTTCAACAAAAATTGAATATATGGGGTTCTTTGATATGCTGAATCTAAACATGTATTTAGATTTTTGATTATGGGCCCAGTTTTCAAGTTGGTCCAAATTGGGGTCCAAAATTAAACTTTGTTTGATTTCAACAAAAATTGAATATATGAGGTTCTTTGATATGCTGAATCTAACCATGTATTTAGATTTTTTATTTGTAGGCCCCGCTATCAAATTGGTTCATATTGAGGTCAAAAGGGTCCAAAATTAAACTTTGTTTGATTTCATCGAAAATTGAATTATTGGGGTTTTTGATATGCCAAATCTAACCGTGTTTTTAGATTTTTAATTTGGGTCCCGTTTTTTAAATTGGTCTTCATTGAGGTCCAAAGGGTCCAAAATTAAACTTAGTTTGATTTTAACAAAAATTGAATTCTTGGGGTTCTTTGATATGCTGAATCTAAACATGTGTTTAGATTTTTGATTATGGGCCCAGTTTTCAAGTTGGTCCAAGTTGGGGTCCAAAATTATATTTTTTTTGATTTCAACAAAAATTGAATATATGGGGTTCTTTGATTTGCTGAATCTAACCATGAACTTAGATTTTTTATTTGTGGGCCCCGCTATCAAATTGGTTCATATTGAGGTCAAAAGGGTCCAAAATTAAACTTTGTTTGATTTCATCAAAAAATTGTATTATTGGGGTTTTTTGATATTCCAAATCTAACCGTGTATTTAGATTTTTAATTTTAAGTCCCGTTTTTTAAATTGGTCTACATTAAGGTCCAAAGGGTCCAAAATTAAACTTTGTTTGATTTTAACAAAAATTGAATATATGGGGTTCTTTGATATGCTGAATCTAACCATGTATTTTGATTTTGGACATTGGACCATAATAGGTAAATTAAAAAAATTCAAGTTCTTAGACCACATTCTTTCTGTGTCAGAAACCTATGCTGTGTCAAATATTTAATAACAATCCAAATTCAGAGCTGTATCAAGCTTGAATGTTGTGTCCATACTTGCCCCAACTGTTCAGGGTTCGACCTCTGCGGTCGTATTAAGCTGCGCCCCAGCGAAGCATTTTATTTATCAGTATGAATCATTTATAAGTTATTGATGAGTTCATAATCTTGCAGGCTCAGATATCTCTATGGTCAAATAACAGTTTAATTTACAATGCTTCTGATGTAACTTCAATAGTAAGCTTATACAATACATATTGTCTAATTTTTGTCTCGCCTTGACGGAGTCAAAAAGCGAGACATAGGTATGCTGTTTCTGGCGTCGGCGAAGGTGGAGGCGGTGGCGTCAACAATGTATTAATTTGTGATTAGGTCTTGTTCATGGGGAACCACTAGTGGTAGGTCAATGATATTTGGTATGCAGTTGTATAAGCATTGGCATATCTCATTTCCATGGAGATTATTTGCCTCCGCCCCCTTAGTCATGGTCTATAGACTTTGAAAATTTTGCTAAGTTAACAATGTATTAGTTTGTGATTAGGTCAGTTCAAGGGGAACCATTAGTGGTAGGCCAATGTTAATTGGTGTTCAGTTGTATAAGCATTAGCACATCTCATTTCCATGGAGAATATTTGGCCCCGCCCCTCAGTCATGGTCTATTTACTTTGAAACTTTTGCTAAGTTTACATGTATTAGTTTGTGATTAGATCAGTTTAAGATGAACTGCTAATGTTAAGTCAATGATATTTGGTATGCAAATTTATTGGCATTTGCAAGTATCGTTTCCATGGAGATTATATAGCCCCATCCCTGATCATGGTTCATTGACTTTGAAACTTTTACATAGTTTACAAGTTAATGTTTGTGTTTAGGTTTGTTTAAAGGGAACGACTTATAATAAGTCAATGGTATTTGGTATGCAGTTGTATTAGCATTGGCACATCTCATTCCATGGAGATTGTTTAGCCATGTACCTTCAGTCATGGTTCAGCGACTTTGAATATTTGCATAACTTACATGTTAAACTATTGCTATTTTAATTTCAACATTTGCATTTTCAAAATTACAAAAAGGCGAGCCATATCTCTGTGATAACAGTTTATTTCCATGTTGCAGTCTGATTTCTTTTAGCTGTATGCACCTTGCTTAAGTGAAATTTTGTTTGAAGCAAGTGCAGATTATTAAAAACTATTCTTACCATCTAATTTCTAACTTCATGAAAAGTTTTTGAACACCTAGTTATCTAGATCAATAGTTTTCATAGTTAAATTTTGTATTGGTTTTCTTCAAATTGGTCATTTGTTGAAATTTATTAGCCTTTTGCTAGTGAAAAGTAATATTTTTTTTCTAATCATTGTTTCAATAGTTATTAAACTATTGATATTTTGTTTGAAAAGAAAAAGAAAATGTTTTTGTTAGATAAGTGAACATTTTGTAAAAAATATTGAAAGCATATGCAAGGGAGATAATTTTCATTGTGCTAACATATCATTGATCTTGCTGTTTAATTATTTCCCTTTAATATCAGTACTTCAGTAATTATAACTATAGAGAAAAATATTCAAATTACTATTGCACAGCACTTTGTTGCAAAACAAAGAAATGATTCATTAAAAAAAGTTCAGAACTAATTACTTATGTAATGTCATTACGATATAAATTTTCATATACACTAGTACCTAATAAATAGGTTTCCAAATTAGTCAAGAAAAAAGAAAGTCAAACACTTGAATAAGATGTAAAGAATATTTTTTATTACATTGGTCTTGCTTCATACAAATAATCTTTCACTAGTAATAATAAAAAAAATTGCATCAGTTGATCAGTGTGAAGAGATGATTTCAAACTGCATGTTAGAAAAACATTTTGGCCAATTGGTTTGTGAATTGACAAAGCCTTTTGTATAAGAAGATATTGGTACATGTACATGTAGAAGGTACACAAGTATTTAAAAGTGCTATCTGTTTTTACATAAATATTGTTATTAATAATTATTTGTTTCAAACAGCTGCATGTGTTGTGGATTAATACAACTTTATGGTAAATGTTTTGATATACATTAAACTTTTAATTATTAAAAAGCATATAATTGATAAATGTCATTAGAATCACTTGTCACAGTACAAGGATGTTTAATATTTTAATGTTTCTGATGTAACATTAGAAACACTTGTCACAACACAAGGTTGTCTAATATTTTAACTATTTTAAAAAATTACCCCAATTTTCAGCACAGTATAGACACCACGAATTGATTTAACAGATGCATATACATGAGACTCATCTGAATGGAAAGAAGTTTACACTTTACACTGAGTTTAAAGGTACCATTAAAAGTTGTATATATGGGCATTAATCTTTACTTCCATGATCTATGTAGTTAGATTATACTCTCAGCCATTTGTTCTCACATTAAAATTTATTGTAATTAAATTGCATGTTCTTGATGAAATCAAGGTAAAAAATATGTCTTCTAAATACAAAGATAGAAACTCGTTTAATAAAAAAAATGGTGAAAAGGATCTGTAATAAATAATAACCTTTAAATAGCAGTTTAGAATTTGGAGATGACCATAGATGGTATGGCAAAGAGAGATGATTCAACAGCTACGATTAAGCTATTAATCTTGTCTAAGTTTATATCAAGAAATACTTTGAACAGTGGTTGACAAGAAATACTTTGAACAGTGGTTGACAAGAAATACTTTGAACAGTGGTTGACAAGAAATACTTTGAACAGTGGTTGACAAGAAATACTTTGAACAGTGGTTGACAAGAAGTACTTTGAACAGTGGTTGACAAGAAATATTTTGTGATTTTGTTACTTATGAACATCCATTGTTAAATGTGTTAATTTTATGTCATATATATTTTGAAGTTGTTAACTTATAGTCATGAATAAAATGGATTCAACAATTATGCATTCATCTTCTACTATATTGTTAAGTCGTACATCATGAAGGTTAAAAATTCTGCATTTATAATAACAGCTTGAACAGACCCCCCAAAAAAAATGTTTAAAAAAAGAGGTGACACTCAGCAGATTATAAATAAAAGAAAGAAATGAATAATGACTGTCATATTTCTGACAATATGACAATAAACAGCTTCACCATAAGCCAATAGTACACCCATCTGCCAAAAGTTGTAAATTGAATAGATATAAGCATCCATGTAAAGTTTGCAGTCATAAAAGATGAGCCATTGTTACTTTCTGGTATCTCTCCATACTGACTATGTGAGACCCTCATGGGAAGTCAAGGTCTTTAAACACCTCTCTAGTAGAAGTATCTCTCTTTTATCAAAACCTGAGTTTTTGTATAAAAATAGAGATGCGATATGATTACCAATGAGACAACGATCTATAAAGATCAAAGGACAAAGATGAGAATTGTTACAGGTCAACGCAGGGCAATTTCAGAATTGATTGGTTATCATTGATGATTTACTGTTGCATAATAATCCGAGCATATTAGTGGCTTGCAGTAATTGTGGCTATGCCCTTCTATGACTAAAATTTTTAAACAGTACAAATGTGTATTCTAATAAGTTGGAATTGCATAGAAGACTTTTTTTTATTCATTTTGTCTAGACGTTTCTTCAACAAATATTTCTGTCACACATTCCTCAGATTGACTTCATATTTGGCCGACGGCGACAAGTTATAAATTATGAACAATTTTTTTATCTGTAGACATCTTCTCACTGTTTGCTGATACTTTGAAGTTTTCAATATTTTGAATGAACTTCAAATTTTTTCTCCACTCATTTGTCTACTACAACAGTACTTTGTACGGTAGACAGCTTGAGAGTGATTAGTTGTAACGTGTGTATGTTTATCTGTCAAACACCTACTTTCTGTTTACCGATACTTCAAATTTTTTAATGTCGCGTTAACTTCATAATTTTGCAGATCGACAGTGATAAGTTGCAATGTGTGAGCTGTATTCAGACTTGAGGGATAACTACTTCCTGATACCGCCACGATGGTCTCATGTGTTTGCCTCGAGTACGGGAGGTTGTGGTATCGAACTCTGGCCAAGCAAACTTTAAAGACTAAAATTGGTATTTGCAGCTTTTCCACTAAGCACCAAGGAGTTAAAGCAAATACTGGTCCTCTTGGAGTCCGAATGTGTACTAGCACATTAAAAAGCAAGTCCGGCATGTCTATCTAGTAGAGCGAATTCATATTCTAATTGCACTAGAATGATCTTGGACGAAATATGCATGATTTGCTACTGGATGCTAAACAGCCATACATCCGTCCTACTTCCTGTTTTCCCATACTTTGAATTAAGAGTGGGACAAAATGTGCATAGGGATGGTAAATTGGATGTGTATATAGCTTTGTTTCTGAAGAAACAACTAGATAATCAATATCTGGTAGATGCTTTAGGGTTTGGAGTTTGCTACTGGTGTATGTCATTAGCATCATTTTCCTGGTTCAATGACCTCTGAAAAAAATACATGTACTGGTGTAAGGTTTTTTGATCAACTCATTTTTCATTAATTATAAAGTATAGGACAACTTCATTTGGTTTGATGAATGATTGTAAGGTACACAAGACTCAGAAGTGTTCACCTGACCTTTACCTCATTGCAATGGGCAATAGCAAGTTTTTGTTGATTAGGAATATATGTTCATCTGATCTGGACCTTATTCCCTGTTCATTTCTAACATTATTAGTTTTTTGTGATTGGGCTAGATTGTCAGATACTACAATCTTAGGTCAAAAATGTTGCACCAATTGGAAATTCCCCTATTATTTCATGTAGAAACTCATTTTTAGCTTACCTGGCCTAAAAGGCAAAGTGAGATTTTCTCATCAATTGGCGTCTGTCGTCGTTCACTTTTACAAAAATCTTCTACTCTGAAGTTACTAGGCCAAATTTAAGCAAATTTGGCCACAATCATCATTAGGGTATCTAGTTTTAAAAATGTGTCCAATGACTCCACCTGCCAACCATGTTGGCTGTCATGGTTAAAAATAGAACATAGTGTAAAATGCCAGTTTGGTCTATTATCTTGAAAACCTCAATGAATGGAGAAAATCTGTCGGATGCAAAAATTTTCAGAATGATCAGATCTACATATTGTCTATGTACTTGAAAACTGTCAGACGATTTCTAATAGGAGTTATTGCCCTTAAATGACAAATTAAACTGATTTTTTTCATGTTTGCCTTATATTTAAAAAAAACTATAATAGATTTAGAGAAACTTTTTATATTAAAAAATTATCAACAAGACAACATCTTCATACAAGTCCCATGGTCAAATCGTCAGACGATTCTTTATTGGATTTAATGCCCTTTAATGACGATTATTATCAATGTTTTATGTTTTTGCCTAATATCTGAAAAACTATTATAGATAGATAGAAACTTAAATAAGCAAAAGTGATCAGCAAGACAAGATCTACAAACAAGTTCACAATCTTGAAATCTTCTGACCTCTTATTGGAGTTATTGCCCTTTGATAATGATTTTTACCATTTTTTTGCGTTTTTGCCCAACATCTGAAAAACTATAAAAGATAGATAAAAACTTATATTAGCAAAAATGATCAGTAAGACTTGATCTACAAATAAGTCAAATAGCCGTTAAATTCTAATTCGTAAACTCAAACGAACATAAAATATTTATCAAATAACCACAAACTCTTACATGGGAGACGCCACTTGCAGAGACAAGCGCACATTATATTATAAATATGAGTATAATATTGTGGAAAGTTCATATAAATACACAGGCAACTTGTACATGTACTGGTTTCCCCGTACTAGTGGTCTACAAATCTGAAAATAAATAATATAATTAATAATATTATTTATTAGGCAAAATGCTACTGTACACTTTGACTGCAATGGCTCGAATGACTTTAAACCACCCGAGTTCACTCGTGCATGAACTCAATATCCCAATCGAACCGACCTTACTAAACACTAGTCAACTATAAACAAACAACATTTTTACATGTTCGATTTTTGTACAACTTTGATAAATACATAAATCATCAGTCGACTCCATGTAGGAGTACTTGCTCTTTAATGGTGATTTTTATCAATATTTTATGTTTTAACTACTACATGTATCTTGAAAACTATAAAAGAGAGCTAAACACTTTAAATAGCAAAAATAATCAGCAAGACAAGATCTACAAATAAGTAAAATTTTCCAAATTGTTTTTGTACTCTTTATTGGAGTGATTGCCATATAAATTGTTATTTTTTTATGGTTTTTTGTGCTTTGGGCAAAAACTAAAGAAAATAGAGAAATACTGTAAAGGGAAAAAACTATCAGCAATACAAGATCAACCAAAAAAAAAATTTTTTGTCATGAATTTTATTCTAGTCCACAACGTTGGAGAGAGTCAATTGTTGAAGGTGCTCATACACCTAGGTGAGTGACACAGGCTCTTTAGAGCCTCTAGTTTTTATACGACCGCAAAAAATTTTTGCAGTCGTATATTGGTATGAAGTTGGCGTCGTCGTCCGGCGTCGTCTGAAGACACATTGGTTTTCGCACACTAACTTTAGTTTAAGTGAATGGATCTCTATGAAATTTTACCATAAGGTTCAATACCACAAAAGGAAGGTTGGGATTGGCTAAAAATAAGCATTTTTGTAACTTCCAGACAATAACTTGTGTGTTAGTGTATGGATCTCTCTGACATTGTACCACAAGGTTCCATATCACAAAGGGAATGCTGGGATTGATTTTGGGGTAATTGCCTCAAAATTTGAGGAATTAGGGGCCAAAAAAGGGGCAAAAAACAAATATTTTTCTAGTTTCAGGACAATAACTTGTATGTAAGTGTATGGATCTTTCTGAAATTGTACTACAAGGTTCCATATCACAAAGGGAAAGCTGGAATTGAGTGTGGGGGTAATTGCCCAAAACGTTTAGGAATAAGGGGCCAAAAAGGGGCCAAAAATAATCATTTTTCTAGTTTCCAGACAATCACTTGTGTTCAAGTGTATGAATCTCTCTGAAATTGTACTGCAAGGTACCATACCACAAAGGGAAGGCTGGGATTGATTTTGGGGGTAATTGCCTCAAAATTTTAGGAATTAGGGGCCAAAAAGGGGCAAAAAACAAGCATTTTTCTAGTTTCAGGACAATAACTTGTGTGTAAGTGTATGGATCTTTATGAAATTGTACTACAAGGTTCCATATCACAAAGGGAAAGCTGGGTTTGAGTTTGGGGGTAATTGCCCTAAACGTTTAGGAATAAGGGGCCAAAAAGGGGCAAAAAAATAAGCATTTTTCTAGTTTCCAGACAATAACTTGTGTTCAAGTGTATGGATCTCTCTGAAATTGTACTGCTAGGTACCATACCACAAAGGGAAGGCTGGGATTGATTTTGGGGGTAATTGCCTCAAAATTTTAGGAATTAGGGGCCAAAAAGGGGCAAAAAACTAGCATTTTTCTAGTTTCAGGACAAAAAACTTGTGTGTAAGTGTATGGATCTTTATGAAATTGTACTACAAGGTTCCATATCACAAAGGGAAAGCTGGGTTTGAGTTTGGGGGTAATTGCCCTAAAAGTTTAGGAATTTGGGGCAAAAAAACAAGCATTTTTACAGTTTGCAGACAATAATTTGTGTTCAAGTGTATGGATCCATACCACAAAGGGAAGGCTGGGATTGAGTTTGGGGTAGATGAATCATAAGGGGGTTCAAAACATTGGGGGAGGGATTTTTTTTTCCTTTTTTTCCTTTTTTTTTTCTTTAAAATTTTCCATTATAATTTAAGTTGGTTATTTTTGATTTATAAATAATAGCAAATAATAATGATATTGTTTGATTTCATCAAAAATTGAAATATTGGGGTTCTTTGATATGCTTAATCTAACCGTGTATTTAAGATTCTTAATTTTTGGTCCCGTTTTCAAATTGGTCTACATTAAGGTCCAAAG